ACAGGTATTTTAACTGATTTGGGTATGTATGAAAATTTCAGATTGAACCGGGATATAAACAATTTCTAAGATATTTATTTTTATATAATTGATATAATAATGCAAATATTATAATGCAAATGTTATTTTTATATAATTGATATATTAATGCAAATATTATAATGCAAATGTTATTTTTTTTAAAGGTTATGATTGTATTCCATAGCGTTGATGGCATATCAGATTATGACACAGGAGATTCAAAAACAATATTGTGTTTATTTTCAGAACGAAGACCACACCCCCGACTGACTACTAGGGTTGAGGATGCCGCCATAATAGTAGCACTTTAAAACAACCCGTTCTCTAATGCTGTCGCCATCAGAGAGGCGTTACACTTAGACGTCTGTGCATGAGGCGGGCACATACAACACAGAGTCCCTGCCATAAAGGAACGGCTAACGGAACAACACCGCACTGGTCGCCTCCAGTTTGCCCAGCAAAATGTGGGGAGGACCTGGAGTTTTGGTTGCGCGTAGTCTTCACGGATGAGAAGACTTTTACCAGTATTAACCACGGTAAAATTCATTTGTGGCGGCCAAATCGCACGAGGAAAGTAAACTTAACATATTAACAAGTCCATAATGATTAAAATAAGATTTAGACCGTATTTGTCGACATAGCCGTAAAACAATAAACAGCTCGTTATACATTTTCAAATAAAAGTCTTCAAGTTTATCGCATAACATTAGGGTGTAACAATATCACAAATTCACAAATTCAACGTCGTACTATAGGTCCAGCAATAGATCCCACCAAATTTTCACCTCATTACTATGGGGTATATTGAAATTCATAAGTAGATTTAATTACAAAATATATTAACAAACAAACAAACAATAAACAAGTATATCCGTATGTACAAAAATAAATAAATTTCAATTAATTCTGACCAGATAAACTACTCAACCGAGTGACATAATAACGAACATCAAAGTACTGATTAAGCACTTATTTAGTCTGGACACCACCCTGAACAACGTGGTTATCCAAAGTAAGTTATTTACCCATTGAATTCTAAAATGTGACTACCCACAGTCTCACATATAAATCACTATATAATACTTGGTGCTCTTAAAAATCGAGCAAGGTTAACACAGTATACCAATAGAAATATACAATAGAAGAGGAGATACTTATCTTACAACTGCCAGCCCAATACTGCCGTCACCCGGCTTGGGAGTTAAACAGAGCGAACAGAGGTGGGCGGAAATGACGTCATAAACAAAAGACGTTTAAGTTGCCAATCCACAAATAGCTATCAAACGCTCATTCATTCATTAGTATTCGAGACTAATACAATAAACATTACTTTGTTTTACCTAACACATTGAAACTAATGTTACTACATTTCAAGTAGAACATATAATATCTAAATTTTAACTGCTTCAGTGTGTACACAACGAATCAGTCGAAGTTCATTCGCAACTTTCGATTTACACCAGGTACCTACTTTACTGCTAGGTGAGCAGGGACTAATGGGGGCTAGGAAGTAAGTCCAAACAACTTCCACCGGCCCGGGAATCGAACCCGTGACATCTCGCTTGCGAAGGCAAGAGCGGTACCACTCTACCACCAGCACCCCCAGTCGCTGAGCAGCCCGTAAGCCTCGTCTGACGGAATAGGACCGTATGAGCAAGCAACGACTCAATTTCACTAATACCTACACAGAATGGACACCGGAACAGTGGGTTAAGGTAATGTGGTCAGATGAAAGCACCTTCAGATGCATATTAGGGCAACCAGGCAGGGTGAGACGACCTGTTGGGGTAAGCAGGTACGAGCTAGCATACAAAGTAAAAACAGTGATTCAGTGAATTAATTATGATCTGAGGCTGTTAGAGTGGTGAAGTTGGAAGGGGTGGATTGTATTTTCTCCCCTGAAACGCGACAATGAATGCTGACCGATACATTGATGTTCTTGGAAATCTTTTGCTAAAATTTTATGATATTTACGGATGCTACGTGTTTACGAACGAAAGTGCCACCTGCCATAAGGCGAAGAAAGTGATAAAATTGCTTCAGGACAATAACACTGACGTTCTAAAGTAGCCAGGAACCAGTCCTGACCTGAATCCTAGTAAAAAAGGCAGGAATTATCTCGAGGGGAAGCTAGGAGCTGCAACACCCCATCCACCAAGAGTCTGCAGGATGAGACCAGGGGCATCTGGACTCAAGACCTTGATCCACAATACTTAAAAACATTAGCTGACAGCATCAGTGAATGATTAAGATGATCATCAAAGCAAAGGAAAATATGACAAAACACTAACAAAAGTTCATGTTCAATCTTTGTTTAATTTTCATTTATGTATGTGTTTATGTTAGACAACACGCACAAATTCTTCGTGTCCAGTCTTGGTTGCACACAGTGTATACAGTATATAAATATCTATAGACAGAGCTGGAGCATAAGAGACATGCTTTCTAAGTGACGGTCACCCATTCTTTCTCTACTGTGTGAGAGATAATTGCTTCTTTAGATTGCCCACGAGGGGGCTAGTTTATTGGGCACCCCCTTACATCCTGTGCAAGGTGAAGCGCAGAAGCCTGAAGGGTCATGTGTTTTGTCAGCAAGTTACATAAAGTTACAGAATGATGAGTGTGTGTGTGGGGGATAAATTCACAGTACAATTTATCTGTTTATGGCAAAGCGTGGCAGGTCCCTAATAATGTCAAGTGCCAGGCAATAGACATTGACAATATTGAGTGCTACGAGTTGGGGATTTAGAATATAGTTAAAAGTCTACCCAGATCCCAACAGGCAACAACAATAAAAAAACAAAGACAATCGGACTATAAAAGGATAGACAAAGGATGCGAGTTTTTGTTGTGTATAATAAAGTACCATAAATTCCTTAACAAAATATTCAGCTTTCTATAATTTACCCTTAACCATACTTAACCTAAACATTAACAGTATATACATATTTATACAACATACAACAATTTCGAAGCAAGTGGATGCGGGGAGGCAATATAGGATAACAAATACTTAAGTGCGGAGCTGAGATGGCTGACGAGTAAGGCTGAGTATTGTAGAAGACGGAAGGTAGTCACTGTGCCGTAGGTTTTCAGGATAGGTGATCCTGTGGTCACTTCCCAGAGTGAACTGAACTTTCCTCGATCTGGAGCTGATGAGGAAGACTTGGAGGAGGTGACACAACAACCAGGATATGGAGAAGTGAAACCCTGGAGTGGTAACTAAGACTAGTCATACTAGGGTTTCGTCCCTAGATGGCGTTGCTCGTGGTGCTGGGTAGGTAGATCATGACAATAGATGGCGGGGTTCGTAACATGAGGGACATACCTTTTAGTGTGATTGTGATGGCGTGTACTTCGGTAGTGTCGGCTTCAAGGGGGACGTCGAGAGGTTGGTAGGGGACATCCTTCTTGCCGTAGATATGTAGTCCACTAGCATGTCCTCATGGTGGTCAATTGATGTGGAGAACTAGAGTGGATGTGCCCCAGGTTCCGGCATGCCGGTGGAGGACGGGGAGCTGCTGGTGGTGTCCTCGGGTCCATGAGCATGCGTGGCTTGCGGTGGGTGGACGGGGGCAGCAAGGCACGGTAGATGCCACGCCAGTAGTGATGTCAGGCGGCGGTGGAGTAGTCCCTGAGCAAGAGGGGCACACAGGGAGGCTACCAGCTTGTGACAAACCAGAAGAGGGGGGTGACTGGGTAGCAGCTGAAGGCAGGGGTAGTCTGTGTAGGTTGGAGATGGCGGTACAGAGTGTATCAAAGAGTTTTTCAATACGGTTGGTAAATTCGTGGAAGAGGGATATGATTTCTTTCGTGTCACAGGAGGGGGTTTGTGGGCGGGCACCGGTGGGAGCACAAGGCCTGACAGCATCAGAGTAGAGACGGGGAGGAGGCCCAGTAGTAGTTGAGTTAGGAGCCGGCCGGTACTGTGGTATTACAGGCAGGTGAGGCCAGGCAGGGGCAGGTGTTGTTGAAGAAGGCCTTGCCAGAGGAGGGGACGCAGAGGGTTGCGGCCCGGTACACTGGGTGTGGGGGGAGATTGAGGTTGACGCAGCCTTCGGGGAAGCTTTTCTTCTGGGACATACTGACGTTTGGGGCATTGCCGTCTGTCAGCATTGTGCCAGCCACCACAATTACAACACCTGGGGTCAACAACATAGCCCACACCACCCACATTGAGGGTGTCTTTGATTTTCTGGGCACAGACGGAGGAGTGATGGTTACATGAACAGAAACGACATCTGGGACGATCACGTCGGCAGCAGACGGTGAAGGTGTGACCCCAATGAGAGTAGATGACACAAAAAGCAGGCCAGGGGTGATGTGATTCTGCATACAGTGGAAGGAGGACTGGGTGGGCCTCAACAGTGGTTGAACACTCGCTCTCCTTCCATTTAACTATGACAGCTGCTTGTGGGGTCTTCCCTCGGTAGTGTCGAAATATACTGAGTATACGTGGATTAAAGTTATGAGCATCTTCAACTTCAGCGTATAGAGGGAATTGCTAAACTAGGATGTGGCAACATTCAGCTGCGTCAGCAGGTGGAGGCAGGAGGACAACCTCATCAAATCCAACAGTATTAAGTGTTTCATAGACCTCAGGTGTCTGACACTTGATAAAGTTACGGTTCTTACCTTTTCGGAATTGAATGGTGAGACCGTGTTGTCTCCAGTACTCTGTTGTCCAAATAAACCGTTCCTTGACAGTTTTCAGTGAGTCCCTGGGGAAGTGCAGTTTCAGCTTACTTGGTTGATTGGCAGAGGGGCGGGTGGTGAGGGGAAGCTCGCTTAGCCTAGCATTGGTGTTGCCCTTCCGGCAAGTGTTTCCCATAGAGACATTGCTGTTACTGTCACTATCACTGAGGTCTGACTCTTGCAGGGTGTGGGATGCAGTATGACTATCCGTATCAGAAATGTCTGTATCCATGAGAAAGGAGAGGGTGGGCGCCGGTGAGGCTGCTGCTTAGGTCAGCATTGACTCTCTGAACCGTGCCCCGAGTGGGTTGTTTCTAACGAGTGCTAGAATATAACTTCACCCAAATTTTCTCAAAAATATCTAAGTGTGAGTGAAAAAAATTGTATCTTCAGGGATAGTTTGCAACTAAATTCTCTGTGCCATACAATCAAATTTTCGACTTACTTTTTCTAATTTTCGTACTTCTTATTGCCCAGAAATCCATATACTATATGCAAAATGTTTGCCAGACCTTTTTTTTTAACAGTAAACATCTTATCTTCCAATTCTTTTGATACCAACAACTGTTGAATTTTTGGTTCAACAAATATGGTACATTTGACTTTGACCTCAGACAATTTTGGGAATATTAGGCATATATGTTTGAAGGCATCACTTTCAGCACTAAATGCTTTGATGTACTGCTTGACAAGTCCCAACAATATGTGAAGTGGCAGTAATAAAAATTTTGTAAATTTTGGAGCATCGTTGTGAACATTGTGTTCACCGGGGATTAATGCGGTTCTAACATAGTGCTGGTTACCTGCTCTATTATACATTAGAAAAAGGAAGCAAGAATACTTAGTGTATCCACATACATATATCCCAATATTCCACCACTCAGTGTTGCCAGATGAATCCTGAAGTGTTTCGGTAGAATACTAATATTTTATGTTTCTGTCATTTATAGTTGGTGTTTATATAGTAATGCGGGCATGTTTTTGTCAAAATTGCGTGAGATTTTGAGAAGTTATTGAGAACGTTTTTTTCTTATTTTCATGATTTTTATGCATTTTTACGATTATTTATATGTAGTAGTTATTAGTATTTATAGTCAATTTTGTGTTAATTATCATCAAAATAAATTCTAAATACACAGTTATAAAAATTACCTATATATATTTGTTAAAATTTATTAAAATCCTGAATACAGTACAGAATATTATGCAAAAACAATTTCACTATTTATCTTCAAAAACTATTGATAGTATGACAAAATGAATGTCAGATTCGTCATCAGAATGTCCTAATTATTATAGAAATTTAAAAAAAGATATTGACATAAACTAAACTTTGTTACCATGTCACTCGAAACAGCTACTTTTTAGAGGGGGGTGGAGGGTGGGGTTATTAATTCCATTAAAAGGTATGATATGCCTAGAAACGAGAGGTGGAGAGATTTGCTTAAGTGCGAGCATGAAAATATTTGCTGCGCTGTACACTGGGGAAGGGTACGCTATGATCTTTTCTCTAAGTAATTTTTTCTTTATATTGAATAGTATGACAAAAGAAATATTTAAATTTATTGTAATACAGGTATATGTATATGGGTTAATTATGCGTGTAAAAGTTACATCATAATAGGTAATCTGCCATAAAAAAAAAGAAAAAAAATATATATATATATATATATATATATATATATATATATATATATATATATATATATATATATATATATATATATATATTGATAAAATCATACAGGGAAAAGGGAAACAACGGAGCACCTTAGCTTTCTTCTTTATTCAAGACCTCTTCAGAGGCAACTGGATTACATGGACAGAGAGAGGCTTAAATATACAGGGTGACCTTATTACACATGAGGTCAGGTCATAATGATGTCATCCACTAATCCCCACAAAAACACCAACACACACGTAGAGGAGCTTAAGAAAAAGGGGGCGACGTGTCTAGTCAGGTCATGTTAGGTCAAAAATAAGGGACTCGCTAAATAACTATCCTACATCTAGCATTTTAAACCTTGGGCCACTGACAAATAAATTTATGTAACATAATATCAGTTTTGAACTGATATATATATATATATATATACATATATATATATATATATATATATATATATATATATATATATATATATATATATATATATATATATATATATATATATATATATATATATATATATATATATACATGCAAGTAAATCACTGTAGGTGCGCGTGATCTAGGTATATGCTGATTGCTGATAACCACAAGGAAAGAAGAAAACAAGAAGTTCCCAAGCGCTTTTGTGTAATTCACATCTTCAGGGGTGAGTACTCACCCCTGAAGATGTGAATTACACGAAAGCGCTTGGGAACTTCGTGTTTTCTTCTTTCCTTGTGGTTATCAGCATATATATATATATATATATATATATATATATATATATATTTGTAATATTCAGAAATTTCAGTGTTATGTTTAGTAGGTAAATAACCAAGATGGTATAACGCTCGGTCATCATAGCCTGAACTGGGCGAGGGCAGCGCTCCCGCATGTAGTGAGAGCTTCTGGAACCAGGCCTATATAAGATATTAAATGTAATTTACCGAACTAATGGACGCGAATCATGAAATTAAATGACATTATTAAATTTAAAATTATTATAGATCGTTTCTCAGTCTAAATATGTTACGTGTGCCCAAATTAAACTATTTTTTGTGCCGAAAATAGGTCACTAGGCCCAAGCGTACGCCTTCGAGGAACACGAGGCTGGTTGACCCTCAGTCGCGCTCGAGTGTTCTAACAGACGGACGTTGCTCTGCCCTTTCTCACAGGAAAACTGTCACGTGGTTTGTTCTCCTCTGTGTTACGACATTTCAGTAAACAAGTAAGTTTATTCGATCTTAGACAGGGTTTAGATAGGCCAGAGAAAGAAGTTAACAATAGCTAACAGAGAATTTATTGCAGGGTTTCGGCAGAACCCACTTGACTGGGCTGACGACTGCCGATTGATGATTGGCGATTGTCACGATTGGAACGATCAGAGCAGGCTGGTCACTGGTTAGCAAGATTTTAACTGGGACCTCTAGAGTGAAGGAGTGCCTCCCCCCCCCCCTAAACTACGTGGGACCAGCATCAGCATTGGTTGATCAGTTTCTCTCTATTGGAGGTCACAACACCACGTGTCGTCGGGCAGTTATAACTAGTGCCCACCAAACGGGAACATAGAATCCTTCCCTCAGTTGGACAGACCTCATTGGCTGGCCCCCAATCTTTTCCGGTTCATGGATGTACTGAGTGTAAGCTGAGGCTATCTGAGTGAATGAACGGACACACTGAGACCAGGGGTCTAGTGGGTACCCAGAGACAATTTATCCCCCCCAGTATGGGTGTGTTCTGAGCTTGTGTGATGCATGTTAAGGGAAACAGTGGTAAAGTGGTTAGAATTTCACAAGTCCAGGTGTGAGAACAACGTTATGAGGGACTTGTTAGTGCCTTAAAGAAGTTACTGGTGCAATCGGAACCTATGTGTGAGATTAAGGAACATGTTTTACGGGTACTGGTGGAGAAAAACATTCATAACTCCTAAGTTCTAGAAGAATACTGGCAAAATAAAACCAGGCAGCACCCGCAGGCCTGATGGGTCATGAGTGATTTTCTCGGGTCTCTTGTAAATGCCGGCCTCCCTGGCAGGCTAGTAGTTACACCCTTCGCGTTATTTGGGCAATTAGGACTGTAGTAGTTGTAGGTCATCCCAGACAGGCTATGAATGATCCATATGTGTAGTTAATGATCTCTTAATATTTTTTAGTCCATTCTCTGTGAATGATATTATTTTGTTAAATGTCCTTAAGGCCTGTTCATGTGTGTACGCAGCATATTATTGTTTTCAAATGTTTGTGTCATTAAAGGATGTGAGATAACGAGGAACTGTCTTCAGATGAGCTCCTCATTCTGGTGTAAGGAACACTGTTACCTTGGTAGTGCTCTTTAGGCATTTACTATTTTCTACCTAATTTTGATATCATGTATAACCTTTGTTCCCCAGTGTAGTGTTTTAAGCCAGGCTAAGAGGTGCGCATATGTTGGTGTACCATTATTGATTGTGGGTGTAGTGTTGGAGGAAATAGAAGTGTCAAATTTTACAGTGCATCTCATTCATCCCAATTACAGGTGCTATCTTTCCACGGGTCACGGAGAATATTTTTTTAAAAAGTAATTGTGTTTGTGCTGGTGCGGGTTTTTTTTCAAAGGGGCACCTCTACTGCATTACCAGCCACTATAAAATAAAAAACCCCAAGTGAGGAGATTCCGACTGGTTATATAAATATATATATATATATATATATATATATATATATATATATATATATATATATATATATATATATATATATATATATATATAAAACACCTCAACCCGCCAGGATTCGAACCCATGGCCCACGAGCCTATGACTGTGACCTGGGAATGCTAACCGCTGGACCACCAGGATACAAAAAAGCAGTCCTAGACTTTGTTATATTTCACACAAAGTCTGTTCAACGAGCATATGGTGCCGTGAACCTCTAATGGGGACTACCCGTATCACGTAGGTGGTCAGAGTAACGTTTTACCAAATCCGGCTTCGAAAAACGAGAAACCATATATATAGAATTCCGCGTGCTTTATTGGGCTAATGAAATGTATATGGATATATATATATATATATATATATATATATATATATATATATATATATATATATATATATATATATATATATATATATATATATATATTTCATGTAAATCCACAATGAAAACGTGGATAAGATAAATCTTGATAAAATCACACGGGAAAATGGAAACAACGGAGTACCTTAGCTTTCGTCTTTATTCAAGACATCTTCAGAGGCAACTAGATTACATGGACAGAGAGAGGCTTAAATATACAGGGTGACCTAAAAACATGAGGTCAGGTCATAATGATGACATCCACTAATCCCCACACCAACACAACCGTAGAGGAGCTTAAGAGAAGGGTGGTGACGTGACTAGACAGGTCAGGTCAGAAAAAAGGGACCCACAAAATAACTGTCATACATCAAGATCAAAGGTTTTCAAAGCAGTTTTAACCTTGGGCCACTGACAAATAAATTTATGTAACATATTATCAGTTTTGAACTGACCATCACTAAGGTTTATTGATTTTAATTCCTTAATCAAACTAGCTTCAACCAGAAGTCTTTCTGTGACACAAGATGATTTGAATACTTCTAAGCTTTTTTCCCAAGCAATGGGGTGATTATTATTCCTAACATGAACGAACAAGGCACTGCTTTCAGATGCAGTTCTGATATTATACTTATGTTGTTTGATTCTGAGCTGCAGTGTTTTTCCTGTCTGACCTACATAATTACAATTACATTGGCTACATGGAATACAATAAACACTTCCATTTACATTCAAACTTGGGCTATTCCTTATTAACATATTGGTAATGGTTGAGTCATACTTGAAAACAACATTAATATTTAGAAGCTTGAGGGACCGAACTAAAGGGACAAATTCATCACGATAGGGCAGAGTCAAAATATTCTTAAGTGTAGGAACTTGTCTGGTTACAGAGGAATGAAAGGATTTTTTAGCCCTTTTAAAGCAACGATCAACAAACACAGAAGGGTACCCAAGTTTCTGTGCAATAGAACGAATGTGTTTAAGTTCGTCGTCAATAAATTCAGAGTCACAAATACGCAATAGCAGTGATTTAATTGATAAACTCAAGAAACACAACGAACCTTGCGAATTAATAAGTTTTGATGTAAATTCACTGTTCACTAGAGTACCTGTGAAAGACTTACTTTCATTTCTTAAAGATAAATTACAACTGCTAGATTTAACTATTGAACATGATACTTTCCTGAAATTGATAGAGTTATGCGTAACTGACAATGTGTTTAGTGCAAATGGGAAGTTCTACAAGCAAGTATTTGGCATGAGCATGGGTAATTGTCTTTCTGCTCCTCTAGCCTGTATTTATATGGAGTTCTTTGAGTCTAGATTACTCCCCAATGTAGTGGACTGTATTCCTCCTTGGTATAGATATGTAGATGATGTTCTTTGTCTTTGGCCTAAAAACAGTGACCCTTTGAATTTTTAGACAAGCTTAATAATATTGTCCCTAGTATCACATTCAAAATTGAAAGAGAAATAAGTGAATCCCTTCCATTTCTTGATATGCTTATCATGAGAAATGGCCAAAACTATAAATTTAAGGTATATAGAAAGCCCACACAGGTAGACAGTTTCATTCACTTTTTATCCAATCACCTTGAGTCTACCAAAATGTCAGTTTTTTCTGCTATGTTCCTACGATGTCTGCGTATTTGTGACTCTGAATTTATTGACGACGAACTTAAACACATTCGTTCTATTGCACAGAAACTTGGGTACCCTTCTGTGTTTGTTGATCGTTGCTTTAAAAGGGCTAAAAAATCCTTTCATTCCTCTGTAACCAGACAAGTTCCTACACTTAAGAATATTTTGACTCTGCCCTATCGTGATGAATTTGTCCCTTTAGTTCGGTCCCTCAAGCTTCTAAATATTAATGTTGTTTTCAAGTATGACTCAACCATTACTAATATGTTAATAAGGAATAGCCCAAGTTTGAATGTAAATGGAAGTGTTTATTGTATTCCATGTAGCCAATGTAATTGTAATTATGTAGGTCAGACAGGAAAAACACTGCAGCTCAGAATCAAACAACATAAGTATAATATCAGAACTGCATCTGAAAGCAGTGCCTTGTTCGTTCATGTTAGGAATAATAATCACCCATTGCTTGGGAAAAAAGCTTAGAAGTATTCAAATCATCTTGTGTCACAGAAAGACTTCTGGTTGAAGCTAGTTTGATTAAGGAATTAAAATCAATAAACCTTAGTGATGGTCAGTTTAAAACTGATAATATGTTACATAAATTTATTTGTCAGTGGCCCAAGGTTAAAAATGCTTTGAAAACCTTTGATCTTGATGTATGACAGTTATTTTGTGGGTCCCTTTTTTCTGACCTGACCTGTTTAGTCACGTCACCACCCTCCTCTTAAGCTCCTCTACGGTTGTGTTGGTGTGGGGATTAGTGGATGTCATCATTATGACCTGACCTCATGTTTTTAGGTCACCCTGTATATTTAAGCCTCTCTCTGTCCATGTAATCTAGTTGCCTCTGAAGATGTCTTGAATAAAGACGAAAGCTAAGGTACTCCGTTGTTTCCATTTTCCCGTGTGATTTTATCAAGATATATATATATATATATATATATATATATATATATATTTTTATATATATATATATATATATATATATATATATATATATATATATATATATATATATATATATATATATATATATATATATATATATATATATATATATATATATATATCTTTTTATGTGTGTGTGTGTGTGTGATATTATTAAATTTTAGAATCACAATTCTTGATTTAAAGAACAGGGAAACGTGTGTGGGGCGGCAGTCAGTACTTTTCATGTCTCGAGGAATCAGCTGACCTGAGCATCGCGTGGTGAGGCATATACAAAGCCTTTGTGGGCAGCCCACCAAGTACCAATAGGGGGATTCAGGAACTAAGTGACCAGCTGGCACCTAGGAAGATCAAGAAAATGTTTCGGTTTAATTCATACACGGTTGATGAAGTTACCAGCCAGCTATAATATTAACAAAAGTTATCTGGGATAATTTGCCATTGAAAATGTTACTTGTGTCCTAGTAGGTAATTAATATATGAGAAGAATGACGCCATGCACTTCACGAATAATTAAAATAATTACTGGAAAGTTTGAATTGTTTTTTATCGGGCCTACACGCCTCCGTGTTAACGTCACACTATTCATTTTTATTTAAATATATATAGGCCTTGTGTTCAACATATAACAGAAATCCTTCTCATGTGTCATCAGCGAAAGTAAACAAAAACTGAAAGTTCTCTAAATATATTAGTTGAACTAGGAAAATTATAATTCATCATGATGATAAAAATATGTTTTAACATTTATTTACCCACACGGGAATATTATCAGCAGGGTCCAAAAATAGAACCTTCTATGAAAAGTGAATAAAGCATATTTATGTGACTATATGCACTGTATCCTTTTAATCTATTTATAACAAATATGTAAGTGGAATTTTGTATTTGGAAAAAAATCGGAGTTTAAGACACTGTAAACACGAGCTTATACTCCATTTCCTTCATTTCACTTCAAGTATTATAGGCCGACTGAAGAAAAACTACAGAGTACAGAATATGAATAAGCTGCTTTCTAATTTTTGCATCAATATGCGCAGATTCTTAAATTAAATGCATAGGTATTGACAAGAACAAATGGTTTTCAAGATAACACAGTTTTGTAGATACGACCATACCTGCTAGAGAGAGTGAGAGAGCGAGGAGTGGCAGCACAGTTGAAACTCTCATGATGATGTAGTGAGAGATTACTGACGTCCGTATCTCACTTTTATACCTCCACCATCTCTTGCGCTGACATCTTGTACACAAACCCTCCACCCTATACCTCCAGTACACAGCATGACCCTAAACCTCCAGTACACGAGCATAGGCACCAGTCTATTCTTCCAGACCACAATCATAGTGACCACATTCCTTGAGAATGAGTCAGCGACATCACGCTCAACCTCCAGTACACAAGCATCAGTATCACACTGCACCTCCAGTACACAAGCATCAGTATCACACTACATCTCCAATACACAGGCATCAGTATCACACTGCACCTCCAGTACACAAGCATCAGTATCACACTGCACCTCCAGTACACAAGCATCAGTATCACACTGCACCTCCAGTACACAAGCATCAGTATCACACTGCACCTCCAGTACATAAGCATCAGTATCATACTGCACCCCAGCACACAAGCATCAGTATCACACTGCACCTCCAGCACACAGGCATCAGTATCACACTGCACCTCCAGTACACAAGCATCAGACACACTGCACCTCCAGTACACACACAGGCATCAGTATCACACTGCACTCCAGTCACAGTGCATCAGTATCACACTGCACCTCCAGTACACAGGCATCAGTATCACACTGCACCTCCAGCACACAGGCATCAGTATCACACTGCACCAGTACACACAGCATCAGTATCACACTGCACCTCCAGTACACAAGCATCAGTATCACACTGCACCTCCAGTACACAAGCATCAGTATCACACTGCACCTCCAGTACACAGGCATCAGTATCACACTGCACCTCCAGTACTCAGGCATCAGTATCACACTGCACCTCCAGTACACAGGCATCAGTATCACACTGCACCTCCAGTACTCAGGCATCAGTATCACACTGCACCTCCAGTACACAAGCATCAGTATCACACTGCACCTCCAGTACACAGGCATCAATATCACACTGCACCTCCAGTACACAAGCATCAGTATCACACTGCACCTCCAGTACACAAGCATCAGTATCACACTGCACCTCCAGTACACAAGCATCAGTATCACACTGCACCCAGTACACAGGCATCAGTATCACACTGCACCTCCAGCACAGGCATCAGTATCACACTGCACCTCCAGCACACAAGCATCAGTATCACACTGCACCTCCAGCACACAGCATCAGTATCACACTGCACCTCCAGTACACAAGCATCAGTATCACACTGCACCTCCAGCACAAGCATCAGTATCACACTGCACCCAGTACACAAGCATCAGTATCACACTGCACCTCCAGTACACAAGCATCAGTATCACACTACATCTCCAATACACAGGCATCAGTATCACACTGCACCTCCAGTACACAAGCATCAGTATCACACTGCACCTCCAGTACACAAGCATCAGTATCACACTGCACCTCCAGTACACAAGCATCAGTATCACACTGCACCTCCAGTACATAAGCATCAGTATCATACTGCACCCCAGCACACAAGCATCAGTATCACACTGCACCTCCAGCACACAGGCATCAGTATCACACTGCACCTCCAGTACACAAGCATCAGACACACTGCACCTCCAGTACACACACAGGCATCAGTATCACACTGCACTCCAGTCACAGTGCATCAGTATCACACTGCACCTCCAGTACACAGGCATCAGTATCACACTGCACCTCCAGCACACAGGCATCAGTATCACACTGCACCAGTACACACAGCATCAGTATCACACTGCACCTCCAGTACACAAGCATCAGTATCACACTGCACCTCCAGTACACAAGCATCAGTATCACACTGCACCTCCAGTACACAGGCATCAGTATCACACTGCACCTCCAGTACTCAGGCATCAGTATCACACTGCACCTCCAGTACACAGGCATCAGTATCACACTGCACCTCCAGTACTCAGGCATCAGTATCACACTGCACCTCCAGTACACAAGCATCAGTATCACACTGCACCTCCAGTACACAGGCATCAATATCACACTGCACCTCCAGTACACAAGCATCAGTATCACACTGCACCTCCAGTACACAAGCATCAGTATCACACTGCACCTCCAGTACACAAGCATGCTACAGAGTCAGGTACACTCACGCGCCATAGTCTCGATGCACCCTCTACCCCTACCCCTGACTCGATGGAAGTTGTACCTTTGGCTTCACTGAACGTCCCCCCCCCCTCCCACTTACTCCACCCATCGTTCAGTTGTGCAATGTGGTAGCTCGAAGCTTCGCTGGAATGTACGAATAGCAGTTCATGATGTAATATTTGAGAGAACATATGCTCGATACAGTATCTTAAAGACTTCATACCACTTTATTTACCATCATTATACTTAACATCACTATACGTGAGAGACCGTTCGGCTTGCAACCCTGACTACGACTTCCCTCGACCCAGCAGTAGGGGTAGAGTGTACATAAGTACTAGCAATACCCTACACCTTACACAAATGCCAGCATCACATACGCATTCTTGTCCTGGCCAGTTGAACAACCTCTTCATACATGGCACTAGCACTTAAAGTTGAAGTTGTACACTGTTAAATCAAAGGCTCTCGTAAGAGCTACGAACACACTTTTTCTATGCCAGTCGTTCTATACATTACTCTGACACTGACTCATTTACTCCTTCCGACAGTCCCTTGACTTTCAGCTAGCCTGGAGCAACACTACAACTTCACTTCTTGCTGATCATCATTGCTTACTTATGATAATGGAGTTATTGTAATGCTATCGAAAGACAATATTGATTACTGCGAAAACCTTTTTTGCATTGCTACCAAATTTTCATCTGTTCAATGGGTCAGTTGGTACAAGTTCTGAATTAAGGTGTCTTTTCATTGCCACAAAGTTGATTCAGCAATTACATGTAATGTGTTTACAAGTATAAGTAGAGTCAAATCTTGCAATGCTGGGCCAGCAGAAAATTCCATTTTGCTCTATCTATCAACAACAGCCTCCGTCAGTTGCATTCAGATACAGAGCAAATTAGTTTAGTTTTGTTGAATGTAGTTTAAAATATAGTCTAAAATGGTCATGGTACCGGATTAATTAAGTGGTGAATAGAGCTGCTGATACACCTGAAAACCATCAATGAATGAAAACATAATAATTTTTAAGTCAAGAATTAATTAGATTAGATAAACATAGCGCTGACACTCATCGTAGCCCTTTTTTAATTAAAATAAGTGAAAATATTTTTTTTTAGCAACACTCAAGACAAATTCTAAGTTCCAATGAAAACTGTCCCTCTAAAGTTGAGATATTTTTACACACACACACACACACATACACACGCAGGGGTTAGTGAAGGTGAGTGAGCGAGAGATAGCCTCCACCAGTCTTCATTACGGAACAGGTTTTCAGGTGTGTTTATGTCGACATTCCCACACTGAGTTTGTTATCATATTCACTGACGGGCTGGTCGTTTCCATCACCTGTACCCTTCACAGAGAGCGATATGCTTCAACACTAATTTTACAAGTTACTAGCAAGGGTAAAGGGTGCGGCGGCCAAATAGCATGTGTTCGTCGTCTTCTGTACTAGGGTCATTATCTAGCTCTCGGTTGTAGATGGGTACCTGAGTACCTGACTTTACAGATGGGGAGAAGGTGGTTGTGTAAATTACCAGACACAGTTGCCTACTTGTGTACCGAAGTCTTAGGATACAGTTAGTTGTATCTGACAGTAGTTGACGAGTAATAAGACAATTAGTTCACTGGAGTTTACTGAAGGAGTACCAGTACAGAGACTACCATGGCGGCAGCTTGGGTGGCAAGGTAGGGTTTTTTTTTTATTTTTTTTTTTACGGGATTAGCCCACCAGGGCACAGGTCAATGACCCACATCATGGCCTGCGGGCGAAAATATAATAATAATAATAATAATAATAATACTAATACAAGATATAAAAAAAATAAAGTGAGTAACGACATATGTACTGTATGTTGAGCTGTCAAGTAAGAGAAACAATTGAGACCCTGCAATTGTGTGTAAATGAGGCAGAAAGCCAAATCAGCAACCTGGGACTTGGTCCCAATTTTTGTGATGCCATATGGTAGCAGGGTCTACCATTAGACTATACACTATGCTTCCAATATCTTCCCACGCACTAGTACCCCCCTGTTTGATAGCTGCCTACTACTTACTACCTTGCCAGGTGTTGGATAGTATAACAATACAAAGTAGTGGTAACAGCACATACATAGAATATACATACATACATATGATATTACATAACTGATACAACATATGTAGAATTTATACATATACACCTAGCTAACTGAACATTCTCCAGTATCCGCACAGTCTCAGCGAATCATGGGACCTATTTTCACTTTCAGTAAAGAGAAGGCAATATCAGCACTAGTTATGCTGTCAGTTTCAAGTAAGAGTCAGATAATGTAGCAGACACAGTAATGACTTTTCCCAGTTAATGTAAATGTTACTACTGACAAGAAAAATTAAGGAAAATAATTGATGAAAAAAATAATTAGGTACCTGAATCTACATTAGTTGAACATAAAGCTTAAGCACGCAAATTTCGCTAAAGCATCAAAACATCAAAATAAGAGAGCTTCTTAATAGTATAGTCCATTTTATATCACGATATACTGGCAGCAGACGTAAAGCTGTTAATAATGGTGCAGTTAGGGACTTTTCCAAGTGTTACAGTTAGCGTTATTATTCCACACTCTGTGAGGAGTGAAACCTAGGAGTATTGACGAGTGAATCTGAAGCATTCACTTCATCTAGGGTTGATAGGGGTTGGCCTGGAGTCTCTTTATAATGTGTCCTTTTACGACTTTCATGACGCAATTAATTATTTGGATGTATTTAATTATATTGAACATAAGCATCAAAATATTTTTGTATAATATTACATGAATGGGTGTTTTTGTAGCACTGGGACAACTCCTCGTGATATATAGGGCCATATACAACAGCAGCCATCGTTTACACAATGCTTTGGTATCCCAATGGCCGTTGTACAAGAATCACTCAGTGCTTAAAAAAACATAAAACAAAATAACAAAAACATTCTATTCATTATTGGAGCGTTGGCGCCTTTCGTGGTGCTCTCACCCCCACCCGATGCATATTACGATGGCATATTTTGAAACCAAAAGAAAAGAAATAGAAGTGGATGCACATAGATTGTAGAAATCTGCAAGGGAATAATATTATTATAAGATATCTTCCATATGACACAGCATAAGGATAATTTTATTGTTCTTTTTAAAAGAATTCCATGTTTCTGTGGGAACATCTGCCAGCCTCTTCTCGCCTCATTGTCGCTTATATCTTCTAAATTCTCCTAACCATCATCAAAGGTAAGCCTTTAAGATAACTAATCCAAATAATTTACGTATATGAATGAATGGAAATCAAATTAAGCATAAAAAACTCGCAAGAGGCCTAATTGAAGAGTGGTAAGAGCTGCTCCAAATGGGTGGTGAATGTTTCCTTATCGGGAATAATATCGACCCAGTTGTCGTAATGAGCATAATAGATAATCATCAAGCACTACCAAAATAGATATTGTTTAAGTATGAATATTCAGTAGCCTAAATTTCATATTTTAACAAATCCAAATATGCCAGGTCACCAGTACCAGGTAGTTGCCAGGCCCTAACACATCAGCTTTGTGTTTAACCACAACTTGTTACTAATAACATAAATTCATTTGCTTTGTAATTCTCTTACTGACTCATTGTACTACAATAAAGAACTAACTTATCCCTTTCTGTGCAATATTTTATTTACTTTGATGTGGTGGTAATAATTTACTCTGCCATTGCCAGTTTTGCATATGTAATTTTTTTCAGGGTTTTGTTTTCATTATAGATGGCAAGTATCAAGGGTTTCCATATGTTTAATAGCAATGTTGATATACAGTGCTGTACACAGCCATACTATAATTTGTCTAAAAGTACGGTAGAATCACTTGTGAATACATTGTCCTGCATGTCCATGATATAAAGCAAAATTAATAATGCTTTCCAAAAATATAAGAAATTGACGGTATTATTATCTTTTCGGTCATCCACAGAATTTTTGGATTTTAAGTTGACCGATTTTTACCAGTTAGGTTAGGTTAGATTTGTTCAACATTTCGAACATAAGAACATAAGAATGGAGGAGACTATAGCGGGCCTATTGGCCCACACTGGGCAGTCCGATTTACACCCAACCCCTATTGTTCATATATCCATCCAACCTATGTTTGAAGCTATCCAGCATATTTGAGTTAATGATGATGTGTGGTTACTTGTTCCAATCGTCCACTACTCTATTTCCAAACCAATTTTACCTATTTCGTGCAAATAACTAAATTTTTTCCAATTTTAAAACATTGTTATGAGTTCGCTCCTGGTTGGATAGTTTGATTACCTTTGTAATGTCATTTTGTTTGGCCCTGACTTCTATTTATACACCTTGATCATATCGCCCTCACTCTACGTCTCTCGAAGAAGTGCAAATTAAGATGCTTTAACCTGACTTTGCATTCAAAGCTTGTAATTCCCGAGATTAGTCTTGTCATTCTCCTCTGAATTCTTTCTAGGGATTCTATATCCATTCTGTAGTACGGTGACTAGAATTGAACTGTGTAATCCAAGTGAGGCTTCACAAGCTCAAGATATAGTTTTAGGATGACCTCGCTAGTCTTGTAACTGTCACATGGTTTAAGATTCCTATTTATCATTACTCCTAAATCTTTCTCACAGTCGGATTTCTCTAAACACCGTCGTTCATCTGATATCTGGTTTCAATGTTTACATCTCCTAAACTAAGTAATTTACATTTATCCACATTGAATTTCATCTGCCACTTTTCAGAACATTAAACAAATTTTTTTTAGGTCTTCCTGTAGTTTTGCTGAGTTCTCGTCGGATTTAATTACTCGTCCTATGTTAGCGTCATTAGCAAATTTACTTATGTTGCTGTGTACGCCGATATATATATATATATATATATATATATATATATATATATATATATATATATATATATATATATATATATATATATATATATATATATATATATATATACAGTATATATATATAATAATGGTCCAAGTACTGAGACTTGGGGTACATCATTAGTGAAGTTACTCCAATCAGGTTTACTGCAATTAATGCTTACTCGCAGTTTCCTGTCCTGTAACCACGCCCTAATCCATTTAAGAATGTCTCCTCCAATGCCATGCGCCTCCACTTTTCTTATTAGTCTTGTTACGTGTCAAAGGGGCAAGGCTCGTAACAAACAAAAAGTGATTTTTTTTAAAGGAATTACAATATATGGTTTTTAAGTTTGTAACGAGAACAACTCCAACTATGGTATAATGTATGGATTGAATGCAATCCCTTTTGATAAATGAATACTTGAGGATTGGAGTAAAGAAACTTAAATAAAAAGTATAACTATATTTACAAATGCTTACCACTGATAACAAAGGCATAAAACTAATCACATCAACATACTAGATTACTTTAAGGTTGCCAATATCACTGACAACTAAATCAATACACGATTTAGAAACAAAAATACAGAAAACACTTAATACAGCCAGCCAGCCTCATCAATGAATACCATAAGTACATCACCCTATTGATCGATCAAAGACAGAAATCAACTGACAACACAGGCCAGTCTGAAAGTCCGGAGGTTACCCAAGTTTGAGTGCTAGTAAAAGCCAGCGATACGATACGATACGAAGTCTTTAGTTAAGAGGTGAAAGAAGATTATTAGGGGCTGAAGGAAAAGTGGTGAAACTGAAATACAGCAGGAGTAGAAAGATTCTGGGCTCAACCAGATCGCTTCATCTTTCTTATTGGTGTTTTATCTTTGTTCTGCTCCCTTGGGTCGTCAGACCTTTGTATTAATATTGGTTTATTTATATAATGCTGCTTATTATTATTATTTTTATTATTGTTGGAGTTAGTGAGCCCGCCCAGGTCCTTGTGTAACTGGGAGGGTAGTCACATTTTATTTATTTTTTATTTTTTTTTTTTTTGAGGTGTTAGTTAAGTGTTAGTTGTGTTAGTCTAAAGGTACACTGTATGGAGAGGCCTGCCAGGTTCTTAGTGGAGCTGGTTGGTCACTCTCATCTTTATTCCTCTAGTAATGTTTTATGTAGAAATGTGTATATTGAGGCAGGAGGTGGTTCAATTACTTCTTCCCAGTCTGTTTTACTCATTTTCAGTCTCTTTTTTATTGGTATCTGTATGGGGCTTGTTGACAGTGTTAGTATAATTGGCAGATGGTCACTGCCTGTAAGAGGTCCCTGTATTATATGGTAATTGAAAAAGGCTTTGTTGTTGGTAAAAATTTTGTCTGGTGTCGATTGTGTATTGTGATTTCTCCAGGTTGGAAAGGTAGGACCCAGATGATTGATTTTCACTAAATTTATTAATTGATTAAGGGCGTTTCCCACGACGTTATTATTTGTATTGTCAAAAATCCTATGTCTGGCGTTAAAGTCTCCTAAGATGTACATCGGATGACTATTGTTAGCCAATTTTAATAGGTCTTCTATAGGTAAGTAGGGTCGTCTCGGTGGGAGATAAGTAGTAGCAATAATTACGTCTCCTTGAGTTGTATTTATTTTTATTGCTAGAAATTCATCCTGGAAGTCATCAATTAGTTTAAATTTTAAGTTTCTTTTAACCGCTATCGCTACTCCGTCATTTTTCTCGCCCGATTTATTTCTTTGGTTTACATAATAGTTAAAGAGTTTTATGTTGTTGTTTTCTGTCTCACCGTGACTGTTTATTAGTATAATGTCAGGGTCAATTTCTTGATATATATTACTTAGGTTAATTCTCTCGGTCTTCCAGTTTCTTACGTTGTGTTGTATTATTCTTAAAGTTCTTACTGTTTGTCTATTGTCCATTATTTCTTATACTTGGATTGTAACTGTTGAAGTGGAGACCTATCCTCCTGTTTCCCGCTTCTGACTCTTCTAAACTCTGACGGGTCTACTATTTTAAAGTCATTTGTCGTAATCTTTAGTTTGTCCGTAGTAATTAGTGACCAGACATAATCTTCACTTAGGGATTTTTCTTGATATGTCCACTTGTATATCCCTCCTTCACAGTTTTTTACTATTGTCCCTCCTGTTGGTCTCGATGTTGGGATTCCATGTTTTGTTGTAGTGATAACTTTTAATCCAATATCTTCAGCAGATTCAGGTTGTATATTGTGTTCAGTTTCCATCTTATCTTCTCTCCTCCTACTCCTTTGTCTTATAGTCTGTCCTTTTGTTATTTCCATCTTCTCTTTGTCACTTCTAGTCATTTGTCTGGGATCTCTATCAGTCGCTTGTGTTCCTTGTGTATCAGCTGTTGTTCCTTGCTCAAACCTTTGTTTGTCTAGCTGTAGTCTTTCTCTCAGTTCGCTTGCATATGTTGCCTGAAATAGTTTTTCGGATTGTGGATTCTCTGGAAATATCATCTCTGGTAGGTTATTCAATTTAAACATTTTCCTTAATTCCTCATTGTATGATCCGGGTGCAATGATATTGTGCAAATGTGCATGGATCATACTAATCATTACCTTATCATGTATTGGCTCACTTAAGTTTAATATGGTGGATTCTGGTCTATGAGCCTCTTGGACCGCTCTCTTGGCTATTTCGAAGTATGTCGTATCCTTCTTGTCTTGTTCCTTTTTCCTTGTTTCTTGTTCCTTGTACTTTATCATGTGTTTTTTTATTGGGCATGCCATTGCTAACGTCCTGTGTCCTATGTATGCATTCCCGTTTCTCTTACAGTTGAGACAGCCAACATGTGTGTTCTTACATTCAGTGTAGGTATGGTCATCGCCTGCACAATCTGAGCAGTACTTTATTTCTTTTTCCGGACAGTCTCTCGTTGTGTGTTCTTCATATTTGTAGCAGGAGAAGCAAGTTTGCAGACTGATGAATGTCTCCTTCTTTATTTGATGTGGTGTGACTGACATGTTGAATATTAGAAAGCCCTGTTGTAAAACTTTCTCAGCCATTGACACTTCTTCAAAGGTAATCTTAAAAACATGAGTATAGTCTTTTATCTTAATGACTTCTTCAATCTTCATCCACCTGTTTTGGCGTTCCAGTTCATCCTTCAGGTCTTCAGATGTCTTCCTCCCGAGCTCTTGGTCGACTTAACGAACGAAAACTGATCTTTTTGCTTTTTGTTCTGGTGGCATGACAACAACAAGGCCTTCATTGTAAAATATATCTCTGGCTTCTTTTGAAAGGATCTTATCTGAATCAAAGTCATCTTTACAGATTACTTTAAAACCTTCATTGGTGCTGAATATTCGTGTTAGTGGGACTTGCAATTTGTTGTAAGTGATTTCTGCCACTTTTCCCTTTCCAATAGAGTGTCCCTTATCTCTATGTTTTATTCTAATGCTTGTTGTCATCTTCTTGATTACATCTAATCCTACCTATAACACAGGGCTCCTGCCTGGGAGCAGTGACCCCGCCCCCCCCTCTTGGACGGGCGTCGGGCTCGTAGGGTTCTGCACCCAGGTTACCTGTGAATAGTTATGTCTAAGAAAGTTGCCACCTACCGGTGACCCCCGGACAAGGGGTGCCCTGCACTATCACAGGTTCCCTTGCCGGATCGACCGTATCGCTAAGTCCCGCCTCCCGTTCAAAGAACGGAGTGCATGAGGGGGATGAAAAAAGGAAAGAAGAGGACTTAGAGAGTAGAAACAGCCTACCTACCACGCCACGTTCGGTTAGCCAATCAGAGCACTGCAGTAAACGTGCATGTATCACGCCACCGTGGGGCACCACTGATTGGCCAATCCAGGACGTAGACGCACGGGTAGTAGTCAAAATTTGGGGAGCCCAAATATTTGTTTTTTCCAAAAGTTGGAATTT